TAACGAAAATATATTATCAAATGAGCAGTACCACTTGTACATATAGATAACTTCTCTCAAAAAGCTTCAAGCTCCCTTTAAACAAGAAGGCTATATGTCATCGAACACAACCTGCCTTTTTAGAAAATAATTTATTTATTTATTTTTACCTGCTTTCAACTCCTTTTATTATCATAAATCCTCCCAACTTTATATAAAAAATAGAAAGTAATAGTCAACTGATTGAAATTTAAGTGCCACTAAAAATTCAGGATAAAGCAATGACAAAGTAACATAATATTTTGCTTGCATAGGTAGTCATAAGGTAAAACCCACCTTTATCTTTAGTGTAATTCCCCTATGCGTGTAACTTTCAAAATTATCGTCCAATGCATTTCTATTTAAAAGCAGGCTGCTGTGTTCCACTGCTTGAACAAGAGGATTGGAACATGATAAACATCAAGCCACTTATCTCTGCCATGATTGAAGCAAATCAAAATCCTTCAAAGACAATTGTAGAACTTTTAGAACTGGCCTTTCAACTGAGCGACAGTCTTTTCCAAACACAACCACCATGTTCCAAAAGCTCCAACCCGAAGAACTTCTCCATCATTTTGCCTGGCAAGAAAATATGGTCTTATGAATTTATTATGTCCAATAAGTCCTTTTTTTTTGTTATAATAGATGGACCATACAACTATGTCGTGTTTATCATGTGGAGAAGCAATGTCTTTGAAAAAAAAAAGGACAAATGGCTTACGGATTAATTGTAATGAGTCTTGTTCGTTGGGATTTGATTGGATAGTTAGAGACTTGGAGTATTAAATTTCAAGTTTCTTAAGACATATATGGTTAATAAATTCGATGAAATATGCATGCATTTAAACTTTTTATTTAAGCTTTTTTTTGAGTTTGTAAATCAAAGGACCAAGAAGTAAAAGAATATTAAAACCAATTTGATTAGTATAGTTAATTTGTCAGATATTACAATAGAAGTTAGATTATTAGAATTTTTTGTTTTGCTACAGTAATCTATTTTGTATATAGTAATTTTTTGTTTTTGCATCTAATACATCATTTAACAAGTATTCGTCAAGTATTATTTTCAATAGGATCAAATTTGATTATGCATGATTCTTGGTTCGTGGGTTTTTAATTGGCTTTAAATTAATGATTGTCTTGCTGCAGTAATCCAAATAATATTTCTCAATTTGTAAACTCTAAGCATCGTCTAATATCTTTGAAAAATTGTAACTTAATCTTCTTAATTGTTTTGCTTAAGGTCTAATGAAATAGATTATGATAATAAAATAATCAACTAAGTTTTTGAGATTAATGAAATATTAAATTCATTAGTGTAAATTGATCATGTAGTTCCCAATAACCATAAAATGATGAATTTTGTTCTTCAAGCTTAAGCATCGACAAAAGAATTTAGTATATCTCGTTACTTTTGTTTTAACAAAACTCATTATGAATCAACTATATCATAACTTTCAAAGAAATTTTTTTTTCTATTTAATTTGAAATTTTCTCAATATTATATCTCTCATTGAATATATGAATATTATTTTAAATCTCATAATACTTATTTGGGGTTTTTCTATACCCATAATATGACCAATTTTTGGTAAATTTCATTCTTAATGAAAGATACCTTGCACTTGGGCTTGGGGGTTCTCTAAGTTCTTTACGAGTTTAGGGAATGTCATATGGGGTTTCAAAAGCAATTTGAAAGATACTTCAAGGATTTTATCTTAGCTAATTAATAGAAGCAACTGGAGTTTATCTTAACTCTTAGGGACTAATAGGCGCATGCCACTACAATTAATTATATCCTTGGTCGCAGTGAAGAATATTCTCAGTTAAGAACATTGACTGTACTTTGAAAGAGTAATTTTTTAGCATTTAGATTGGAGAGAGAGAGAAAGGTGATCAACTGAAGATCTCATGTTTTAATCTTCTCAATTCAACATAGAAGACCCAATAAATTAGTGATAGAAGCTCTAGTGATGTATCATCCAAAGAGCCTTTTTAGCAATCACTAGTTACCTTCTCTCAGGTATGTCGAGTAGATTATGTTCAATATGTCGAAGGGTATAGAGTTGTATCTTCGAAGGAATCTAATTAGTTGCTAGGTGTTTTTTCTCTAAGATATCTTGAATAAAATATGCTATGTATCTTGCCATGATGAGTTGCAAATTTATCTTGGATGGAAGATGCCTAGAGGAGTAAAGCATAACTAATCATTGTTCAGAGTTGCAATGACATGACTTGTGATCGTTTAGTCATATGGTTTTATTGATTCCTATCAAAATTGGCTCAAATGCATGGAGCATGATTCACGTAGCTTAGGGGCAATACATATCTAAGAGTAGCCCTCATTTTACTCTAAAAAGAAATGTTGAGAGCTTGTAGGGCGGATAGATGTGAATGCCATGTTATGTGGTGCACTTCATGTTGTTGTAATCTATATCAAACATGTCTTAAGAACTAACCCCTAGCTCATCAATGATTAAACCCTATAGTAGATGACAACTCATCACATCTATGAGTTCTCTTTAGAAAGGAACCCTTGATAAAATTTGATTTTTTGGGCTCGCCATAGTAGATTAATTTGAATGGGCAAACTTATGATATAAGCCAACCAAGATATAAATAGGGAACCTATTTGGTATTAGTTGAGCTAAAGTATACATGATTTTACCTTGTTAGCCAAAATTTAACCATAAAGAGCCGATGGCATGCACCAACCGAAATAGAGATGTGAAACTTGTGTAATAAGATGCCCGTGATTAATTTTGAAAAGTGGAGCTACGCCTAAAAAAATGTGCATTATTTTTGAAATATAGGGGCTTATGTTGTCGCTTTCCAAAAATTTGGATTTGGCTGCACCAACTTAGTAGTTTAAATTTTTGAAAGTGGAGAACTTAGCTTGAAGGTTGTGCATTAATCTCATAGTATCTAGTTTAATATAAATTTGATTGTTGGTTAAGGTTTGCAACTTTGAGGGCAAAGAGGTTTAGGGAGGACACTTCTGACCTTGAGCATAAAGGAGGCCCAATAGTAGAAGTGTCAACTTCAAAAGTGGATGGATTTGGGGTTATTTGTGTTTTGACTTGACGACATTGTGTTTACATAGTTAAAAGGTTGGTAATTATATTAAAAAGAAGACCCACTTACAAGAATTACAACCTTGAGGGTGTGATAAGCCCAAAATGAAACTTACAAAGCCCAATGATAGAACCTACAAAACTATGAAAGGATGAATAAGAAATGTTGTTGAATCTTCACTGTAACTAGCCTTGAAGGTTTTATGACGATGCAGTGCTCAATATCTTGTCAAAGCCTGAAATCAAGTGACTAAGTTCTGAGATGCATCATACTCAATGCATCTCATTATAAAGAAGACCCATTTACGAGACTTACAACCTTAAGGGTGTGGTAAGCCCAGAATGAAACTTACAAAGCCCCCAATGATAGAACCTACAAACCTATAAAAGGATGAATAAGAAATGTTCGTTGAATCTTCACCGTAACTAGCCTTGAAGGTTTTATGACGATATGGTGCCAAATATCTTGTCAAAACTTGAAATCAAGTGACTAAGTTCTTAGATGCATCATACTCAATGCATCTCATCATAAAGAAGACCCATTACGAGACTTACAACCTTGAGGGTAAGGTAAACCCAAAATGAAACTTACAAAGCCCCCAATGATAGAACCTATAAACCTATAAAAGGATGAATAAGAAATGTTTGTTAAATCTTCACCATAACTAGTCTTGAAGGTTTTATGACAATGCGGTGCCAAAATCTTGTCAAAACTTGAAATCTAGTTACTAAGTTCTGAGATGCATCATACTCAAGGCATCTCATTTTGCTCTAGTATTCAAGGTTAGATGTCCTTTTAATTGATGATGGTCAATGTCCACTTACTATTTTGTTGGATGTCAAGTGGGCTAGGTTAATTGATATTAGATTTGAAAGTTGGCCAAGGTGTTCAAGCACTTTTAAAATGCTACATTTTCCATAAAAGTTACAATTTAAGTTTCAAAATTTTTTAATACGTTAGACATATATAACTTATATTTTATCCAGGGAAGCTTTTCAATAATTGTCAATTGCCTTTAATGGTCATTGAGCCCAACCTAAAGTTTTATAATCTCCATTTAACCACCTAAAGGGGGACTCTCAAGTTCCAGAATTTTCAACGGACCATAGAATATACTTTGGAAAACTGTCATTGCCATATTTGTAGTCTCGAATACGAAAAGTGGATGGTTGCATTTGGTAGTCGACAAAAAGTTTTGTTAGCGTGAACATTAATGTTTATCATTGTTGCTTGTGATCGAACTAATACATTAAGTAGTATATCATAGACTAACATAGGGTATTTTTGCGCCTGTATTCGTACTTCATTAACTTGATTAAATCATGTTATTTGTACACTATAAAATGTAAATTGCTTTTGAGGAAAGGCAAACTATAAAACTAGCATGGAATAATATATTTTGAGACAAAATATTGGAGAAAAACAAAGGTTATTTGGTCCAATCTAAAATTGTTTCCACTTAAATCTGTCTGGTATGGATTCTAAGCTGCTTTTTTGTTTCTTTGTTGGTTTTCTTATAATCATTAACTCATTTGCTGTGTTCCAACCAACTATTTAAGATCTTTTCTGTCAATACTTTCTCTATTTAATTCTGTTTGATGTGTCAGCTGGTGGTATATTTAAGTTGTGGATGTGTTGTTTATAATTTCATACTTTTGTTTTACTCTTTTGGTGTTTTTCATTGACTCTTTCTATTCATTGTATTGAGCATGTCCTTTTCTTTCTAAATTACATCTTTTTAATTTTAGGAAGAATGTTTAGAGTTTTGTTTCCTATATTTTGCTACTATTAAATGCTTTAGAATTAGCATGCCACATTTTTTTTTTATTTCTATTATTCTTCTTGATATAATTTCTGCAGTAACTGTTACGAACATTGTAGTCATGTTTTGATATTCGTCTGACCAGGATCCTGATGACACATTGAAGCGGAAGACTTTTGAGTTACTTTATAAGATGACAAAGTCCACCAATGTTGAAGTTATTGTTGATCGGATGATTGATTACATGATTAGCATCAATGATAACCATTATAAAACTGAAATAGCTTCACGTTGTGTTGAGCTTGCTGAACAATTTGCTCCGAGCAACCAGTGGTTTATCCAGGTGGCACCTATTGATATTACGTTATTTTTTATCCATTTGAGCTGTTGCTACTTCGCTAACAAAATTTATTGTCCAGACTATGAATAGGGTCTTTGAGCATGCAGGTGATCTTGTAAATGTAAAAGTGGCACACAACCTAATGAGGCTTATTGCTGAAGGGTTTGGAGAAGATGATGAAGGTGCCGATAGCCAATTAAGATCATCAGCTGTATGTATTTCTGATGATTTTTTCTGCCTGCAAATTGACAAACTAACTTCTAATACACTTCAATGTTTTTGCATTTTATATTATGATAAAGTATCTGTTGCTTGTCCCAGAAATTAGTGAAAATCATATACTTGTTATTATGTCAGAATTCATGTTACTGGGCTGTCATTGAAAGTTCTCTTGGGTGTAAGATGTTTCAAGTGAACTCACGGATTATGATAAACAAACACTTTAACATGGACTTTTGGGTCTAAACATTGAACCTTACTCATTAGAGTGATGCCTTTTTCTTGTAAAGGTTTTTTTTTTTATTTTTTTGCATGTTTATTTACTGAATTCCATATTATGTTTACATAATCAATACAATGGCACATTGAATAAGTCTTCATTTACACATTCCTTCAAACATATCAAGCTTGCAAGGATCGTTTTTCAATTTTGTGATGTGCTTTATGTCTGAAGAAATCAATATTTCCCTTTTTTGCTTCTTTACTTTTCCTTCGCTTCTTTTAAGTTTTCCAGTACCATTGGCCCATCTAAAAAATGGACAAGATAATAAAGGAGATGCAGAAGATGAAGAGATAATAGAAGTAACAAAATTAGCAAGCTTCACTCTTGAACAGAGAGATTGCCTCTCCCTTTTCAAGCCACCCACTTGGTGACTGATTACAATAGAGGAATAAAAATGGTCTCTACAATCACAACAAAATTTAATTGTTGTCATAAACTCTCTTTGGTGGGTCAAAACTCTATTATCATAATTGGATAAAGTACACTGCTAACAAATTGTTAATAAATTACTATCAAATATGTTAACAAACTTAACAACATAAATTATAATAATACCAACAAAATAATGAAATCTAATACACAAATTGAACTTAAATAGGTATTTCTAGGTTTCTTAGAACTTTATTCTTTTTGGGGCGTTTACATACATATCACTCAATTCCACGTATTTACATATTTAACACCTAAACTTTGCTTTTTTACATTTGTAGCTTTCAAATCATTCATATCACATAAAAAACACCACAAATTTAACTTTTAAAATGTGAAATGCACCTTCTTTTAAAATGTGAAATGACCTTTTCATGCATAGATAAGGTGGCATATATGTAAAAGTTAAAGTTTAGTTGTTAGAAATGTAAATGCAAGAATTGAGTGGTATTATGTAAATCCTTCATTATTTTTTTATTTTGATCGAACTATTGTTCTCTCTACTCTTTTGGGACACTTCTACATCTATGGAGAGATAAAACATCAATTTCCTGGACAGATGAGGGGAGAATGACACAAATTGCCATGATCAAGTTTCCACTCTTATGATGCGTTTTCATCATTTATTTTTCTGTTTCTAATAACTTTGCATTTTTGGATATTGTTATATTTTCTAATTAATAGTATCAATATTATGTTGCAATTACTTGATGGTTATTGTTTTTTATTTCACTTTTTACAACTAATGTTCTTATAAAACTCATTAACAATTTATTCCTGATAGGGACAAATTGGGAGTTTAAACCAGAAGTTTTTATGTTCTGCAGGTTACCTCATATTTGGGTATACTTGGCGAGCCAAAACTTCCATCTTTATTCCTACAAGTACTTAAATTTACTTTTCATGTTTTATTTATTATGTTGCGCCTTCAACCATTGAACCTTTCTTCTCTAAACTTCAAGATGTGGAATTGAAGTGCAGGTCATATGCTGGGTACTGGGGGAGTATGGTACTGCTGATGGCAGTTACTCAGCATCTTATACGATTGGAAAGTTATGTGACGTAATAGAGGCCCATCCAAATGACATCACTGTAAAGGTATAGTTTTAGACAAAGTCAGGTTGTCGTCCTTCCCTCCGGTATGAGGACATAAAATTATGATTAGCCACTTTTATGTTGACTCACAAGACCTGCATGCTCACAAGTTAGTGGTTAAATGTTCCTATGGTTGATCTGGGTGTTCTCTTCCTCTGCAAGGGTTTGTTTTGGTTGATTTAGGAGATTTGCTGGAATTTGCTTTATTTGCTCAGAGGGGTGCACATAAAAAACTTACTATGGTTTTCTTCTCATCTTTTCATTATCTATTATTATCAATATTCACTAATCCTTTTTTTTTAAGAAGGTGAAGCTTGTGCTTTGCATTTTTGTTATTCATATTGAATTATCGAAAGTATATTGTATTACAGCCATTCTTTTCATTGAGCATTCTAATTCATTATTTATCTACCTTTCCTTCCATGTTCCCGTCTTGCACTCAAAACACATTTGTTGAGATAATGTTGTGAACTGCCATGTATATGTGCGCTACTATTCTGTATCATGAGTGTTTTAGTTTAATTTAGGTTTTTAGAGCTGAACCGAACATTAAACTGATGAAAGGAAAGGTTCAAATTTTCAATCAGGATCCAATCAAAGGTTCAGTTATAATGATGTAAATTTATGAACTTAATTAAAATTCTTTAAATAATGTAATGTTGTAATAATAACAATGCAAATAAGTGATAATATGTATATGCATATTTAATTTATAATGAAATAAAATGCTTATACAAGAAATATGCTTAAAAATTACTGCACTCCAATACCCTCCATATGTTGTAATTTTTAGTCAAATCGGTTCACCATGCCTTGATTTTATGGGTTGAGTGGTGTAACCTTGGTTTTTTTTTTTTTTTTTGATGTTAGTCTTCTGCAAAGTTTAGTTTTTAAACCATGACTGACCTGGTTTGAGTGCCTAACCTTGGTTTTTAATCATAGGCTAGCTTGTTCAGTTGTCTTGTTGATCTGATCTTCACAATCATGAGTTTAATTGTATTCATTAACTTAGATATAATTAATTTTATATTTTGGATTGCATATGTCGAACGATGAAATTAGAAAAACAAATCTTCAGTGAATTCCACGTATATGTCTAGGGATAAAAAAGAAGTGTGGTAATTCATTGCAAAATAATGATTAGATTATGTTAAAAAAGTTTCACATGTGTTTAAGCTTGTAATCATTATAAACAAGATCAATCTTAAACAGTTAGGAATTTGGAGAGTTATGCCTGCAAAGTGAAATGTTTATTAGAGAAATTGATCTAGAAACAGAGCTAGAAGAATAACAACTTTTTCTCCTATACAGGGTGTGGAAATTGTACCTAGTTCAAGGAGGGATGTGATGAATACATTTTGCTTTAGAATTTGTGAAGAACAAGCTTGCGATGTTTCAGCGTGTCCCCTAAGCTTCAAACAGAGAACCTTTAACTTACGATGCAATAAATTATGCTATATAATTTTGTAGTATTTGGGAAGAGGTTCTCTTTAAGTTTTAAGTGCTGGCTTCTAAATGATTTGGAAGAACTTCACTGAGCTTTAAAGTGTTTCTCAAGAGATTCACTTTTAAGGCAATAGAAACAAGCTTTTTATCCATCGTTGTAGAAGGAAGACTGAGTTTGCTTGATTTGGATTTTTTCCTTGTGATTTCCGATCAGTATTTCACTGCATCTTCACTATTCATTTTGGTATATATTTGGGAATTGATAATAGATGTCTTAGGTTTATCTGGAATCTGTAGTTGCTAAAGCTACCTCCAATGATAACTGCAGAATTAGAGCAACCTTCAATTTGCAGCTCATGTCAACACTGATTTGATTTCTGCCTACATTGCAAGAAAACTTAAAACATTTCAAGCTTTGATTTCTGCCTCTTAACCGAAATAGTTTGCTGTGATATGTAGTTTGTTTATTTGGGCATTAGAAAAAGAAATTTGCTTCTGTATGTTATTTATTTCCTGAATTATGGTATTGCGTTGATATAATTTCTCCTTTGCGGTATCTGAATTCTTTTTTGAATTTAAGACTATTAATTATGATATATCTTTGCAGGCTTATGCAATAACGGGTATCATGAAAATCTGTGCATTTGAAGCTGCTGCTGGGAGGAAATTGGAAATGTTGCCCGAGGTATCTTTATAAAAATAGTTTTTACTGTTTTACTATACATCAAGTTTTTAGTTACTGGGTTTCTCAGCAACTAGGTCTTCATGCTCTTCTTGCAGTGTCCCAAGGTTCCTTTAATGGGCAAATTGTTAACAAAGCCATCAAAAACTAGCAAAGATGCTATATGCAATACTTTAGCTGCATATATCTGCATGCAATGCAATTCCAAGTTATTTAATGAACCGTAAAAAAATTATTAAATATAACTTTTGGTACTATCCTTAAGGATTAAAGTAATCCAAATTCAGCTAGTAGTACAACATTTATCAAGTCGCAAAACTTTCTGAGGGTTTTTCAACAATATAGAGGTTTTGTCAGATTTCTACAAATTTTTGGACACCAGAATTTTAAAAATTACAACACTCAAAACTTTTTCAGAAATACGACATCAGTCTTTTTTAACAATTTTGGGATATACAAAAATTTATCCTTCATGGTTGTTAGACAAGTTTTGTTATAGTTAAAAGTATCACTAAGAGTGTTAGCATGCAGTTGAATATTTTCTAAAGCTTAATATTATATGTGAAACTGATTTTTCAATCAGGATCAATTTACATTGATTGACTGCCTCCGTTATGTTTTGCAAGCATATACCATGATATTAGGTTTGGGATATTCCAAATCATTCTCACAATGGACCTTGAGAGATTTTATTTTCCCTTGAATAAAAGATTAATTCTAATAAAAAACAAGAGAAAGAATCAATAAAGCTTTTTTTAATTGAATATTCTGATTTTATATAAAAATAATTAACTTGTCTACTATCTGTGCATGTGATTGAAGAATAATACCCTTGTAGGTCCTTACGCCCTTATGGATGGAAGTGCACTTCCCACCACTTTAGTGATGAAAATAATAGCAAATTAAAATTATTCAAAGTTCCATACTTGATGTCGGATGTGAGAAAAAGGAATACAATTTTATAGACTAATATAGAGTAAAGGAAATATAGAGAAGAGATGAGAAAAATATATATATATATATATATATATATATATATATATAAAGAAGAGGGAAAAGGGGCCTAAGAAACCAAGATTTGGAACTTTGTTTTGATTTAACAGACTGAAACCAACTGATACAATTTGATGAAAAATATACTGAATCTATGAAAAGCAAGCAAAATTTTACCATTAGGGAAGTAGATGATTTGTAATCAGCAAAGTGCTATTTCTCGACATCGGTCTTCACATTCTTCTGTCTTTCAGGGCTTAGAAGATGCCCAAGAGAGAATGACTGAAGAATACGCTAGCATGAATATGATTAGATGATCGAATGAATGTAGTAAAGAAGATATGTCTAATTAGCCCATATCTATTTTGCAATTAAAACAAGTTTTTGAGACATTTGGATTACATTGAAATTTTGTTTTATATTAATTTCTTATGAAATAATAAAAAATGTTAACGTACATACAAAGTTATTGCATTACACCCAAGATAAATCAACCAATAACCCTTATTATTGAAAATTTAATTACATTATCCATCATGAATCCTTTTTTATCAAAATGCCCCACAAAGGGAAAATACTTTTTTACCTTAAAATAAATAAATTGATTGCAATCAGAAGGTTGAGATCAAAAGTTCAATGAAAGAATGGAATCATGAAAAACAGATATCTAAAAGTCGTCAAAGTCTTAGATGATGAATTCTAATATAGTAAATAATCTATCTGCCAACTAGTTGGTTTAGGTGTTAAGATAGTGCTCTAGAAGTATATATAATTTCATTGGTAGAAATCCGAGTGACGCTAAAGTGAAATCATTGTGAAAACCACACTGCAAAATGTAGTTGGCAGTCAAAAACTGGGAAAATGAGCCCTTTTACTTCTTTTCAATTAATGTTATTGGACTGTTTCCATCATGGCCATAATTATGGTTGAGGCTGATTTGTATTTGTTTATCTTGTGTGTGTTTAATAGTTAACATTTTGTCATTATGTGTGCAAATCTGTGTTCTGGTTGACTAAGTACAACACTAGTGAAATTTCACATCCAAAAAGCAATATTATGGTATTTTTGCACTAGGGATATGACTGGACTATGTTGATGAACTTGGGGTGATACAATTGGCGAATACAGTTGTATCATATCTTTTACATATTCTAAAATTAGATCTACCGGACATTTTTTCGCTTTTATGATTATGCATATTTCTTTTATCATTTATTGAGCATTGTATGATATTTTGCAATTCATGGATGGTTTATTCGTATCATAGTTAATTGTTATGTATACTATCATGTATGCTTCTTTCACAATTAAATTTTATGATTCGGGCTTTTTTTTTCAGTTCCCAAAGTTTATAGAATGGGATTTATTATGGCTGGGGCTGTTTGATGCAAGTGTTTTAGGGGTTAGTGTTTCTAATTCAGCTAAAGGATTCAATGGATGAAGTACACTAATTTAAGATATTAGTAATTGGATTAATTACTAGCCTTATTATGATGCAAACCATAAAATACACAAAATCACTCTTGACTAATAATTTAATGATCATTGAATTAATGAAATTCAGCAACGAATTTGAAAGCTTTAAAAAGAAAAAACTTTGATAAAATTTTTTGCTATAAAAAAAAAACTAATTGCATTAGTTTCAGCTAAAGTCAATCATATTTGCAAACTAAGCTAAAATTATGAAAATATAAAGGATCAAGGTAAGAAATCAGCAAACATAATAATAATTTAGGCTTCACGCTCATACAAAGAAATGCTTTTCCTAAAATTGGCATCGCACTTACACTGTACTCAAGAGAACATCGAATCTAACGCACACACAACTCTAAATGAAATTAGAAATTTAATATAGCCAGAAAATGTTTATTTCATGCCTAAAGTGTTATGTTCATAATCATATAATTTTTTGTAAGGTCAGCAGTTTCAAAGACATTTAAATCATTGAAATTTGGAAGTTTTACCCTGTACACTCCTTATGGAATGATGAAGAAACAACATCAAGCAGCCATGATAGAACAAGAAAATTCCTAAATTCCATCCAATTCTTGCTTGAAATTTGAATGCAATTGCTGCCATCTTCTGTAAAACTAGAGCCCTATAGCAAAGTTGTTGTAGTGCACTCAATTAGACGCCCAAATCGTGAATCAATATAGATAGGGTCAATGAGGGAGATTGATTGGACAAACTCAAGCATCAAATTAGGAATTAACAGCACATCTACCAACGAAAAGCACTATAGTAGAGAATACATCAGTTTTTTATAAACAATATCATCATAGGTATGAATTCAAATAAATTGAAATTGAAAAACATTAAAATAATTAAAGGTAAATAGTTCTCAAATGATCAAATTAGTAATTTGAATATTTCTACACACAAGTTTTTTTTTTTTTTTTGACAAGGGGAGAAATTTATATTTTTTTTTTTTTTTGACAAGGGTAGAACTTCATAAATCCATCACATTTTCCAGAACTAAAAAAAATTAAAAAATTCGCTTTGATGAATTTAGTATTTGATATTCATCATATAAACTAGGGCATAATTGTTGTGTTATATAATATAATATCCATAAATATTTGTATATAGCTCGGCTTGCTGATGCACAATATATCTCCAAAATCCAATAACAATAGTGTGCAGAATTTCATTTCCTAAGATATAAAGTTTATGATCAAGGAATGTATAGTTGCCTTGCATGATATTGGAAATGAATTTACAAAGAGGAGATGAAAAGATTGGATATTCAAAATTTTGTAGCAAGTTTATTAAATAAATTCAAATTAGAAATATTGAAGATTGGACTAATGTTCAAATCTCTCGGAATTTTTAATTTGTTTTTTCATTCTATATGTTTATATGTATGATTTTATATGTTTCTTTCTAGTAGATAATTTCTTAGTCCTCTTGAAGGAAACATTTTAGGATTGAGAAGTATCAGCAGCTCATCAATTATTTGATATTCACACAAGTAATGGACTTATTATTGTCATAATTAACCATCAATTTCTCGTAACTATTTTTATGCAAATCAGAAAAAGGATTAATATAATATGAAGTAATGAAAAACCTAAAATGCTAATATGCATCATGCATGGCGTGAGGTACTAATTAAGGCCGTGAACTAATTTCTAGTAGACAAAAGAAAAAGGTTGAAAGCAAACACATCACAGATATACAAATATATATGGGCAATCTCTTTAAAAAAGATTTATCCAAATAGCTTAAATATATCCTTTGATGAAAATAAATTCGTCTTATTAAGCTCATGATCTCTAATTGGACAGTGATTTCACTTTAAGAATTTTATCAATTTTTATAATATTTTTTCCTTTAGTATTGTTGATCTAAAAATAAGCAAGATTAATAATTCTTGTTTAAAAGCATATAGCATTTACTTTATTCCGGTTGATATAAATTTAAAAAGGGTGAAGACTTCCCAAATCTCTTTGAATCATTCTTGACGTACAAATTGATTCCGATGTTATAAATAATGGTAAAAATATCAAAGAGATCATAATGACAATATATTTGAGTAATACCACATCCAAAGAAGATTTGGAAATCTATACAATACAAATAACAGCATTGACAAACCTTTTGTTATCTAAAGAATCATTGCTATGAAATTTTCTCATTTAAAAAATTTTGGTAGTAAGTACAATTTGGAGAGGGGTGATATAACTCCAAATCTAAAAGTAAATGGGAGTGTAAACACCTTACTCTCATCGATCAAGGATGGCTTATTTATTCTTAGGAATTATGTACTTTTATATTTGACCAAATTGATGTAGTTTTAAATTTCAAGTTTCTTTTAAGGCATTCATCATTAATGAATTCTCTAATATTATAACACAAATCTCTCTATGGCATTTTTGTTTATGAATTGGTATATTAGAAAACTAGCAAAAAAAAGTAAAATCAATATAAGTTAATCATTTATCATAGAAACGCTTTTCATTGATAAGTCATGAGATGTGATTAATTTTATTTCGCACTCATGAGTATACTCAGTTTTTATTGAAGTTCATGTTTATGCATGTTTTCATGCTACTTTAATTTCATTCTCAAATTTTAACCCTTGCTAAAGTATAATTCATTTTGGTAACATATTTTAATGTAAATGCACGTTTTGATTCAAAAATACTAAATGCAGATTTAGAAGAAAACTGCAAACCTTTTTTTTTCGGCTTAAGATATGCTCAAAGAATATTTGTGAAGTTTTTTTTTTCAGTAAGATTAGATTTAGCCATACATCATTGTTATATTGGTGTGTGTATGACATGCTTCAAAGGAGATGATTTTGTTTTTTTTCCCTTTATGGACATTAATCACGATTGCATTATAGCCCTACTAATATAATGTTAGCAATCTTACTTGATGCCCAAAAGATTTATACAAAGCCTTATGTATTTTTTTAGTTGACATGTGAACTTTAAGCTCTGATGTCAATTTTATGCAAGACATATTAGGATCTAGGGTTCCTAATACAATTGAATGTTACGATGGATAAAATTTTGTTAAATCATATTCATATATCGGTTTAAAAAATTATTGATTAAACAATCATTAGCTCTATTTTGATGTAGACGAGAAATACATAAATCCTTCATAACATATATTTAAATGATCTTTTACTGGGGAGATTCCACAAGAAATTTTGTAAAATAAAATACCACATTTTGATTAGAACTTATGTTGCAATAAAAAAAAATGGAGCTCTATTAATTTTGACTTAAAATAAATAGCACTTATGAAACCAAGCTTAAATTGTGAAGAACAAAGAGAAAAAGGTAAGACATACCAAACATGGGCATTCATTCCTTAGTTCGGTATAAGATGACTTTTCCTGAAAATTGATAGCCATAATGGCGCAATTTATGAAGGGTTTGGCACACATAGTTGAAGGACTTGGAAATTTTATTTAGCCAATATGTATATTATATGCGATCATACTATATTTGTATTCATCTTATTTTTCTATGGTAGACATTTTCAAAATACCACTAGATCACTTAAATCAAAGTGGTACAACACCCACTCTCTGTGGAAACAATGAAGGAACAACAACTTGCCATGAAAATCCCACGAAATGGTTGTCCATCCCATGAAATCCGTCTGTGAACCATCTAGCCGCAGCCAAGAATTAATTAGGAACAAGTTTCTTGATTAAGAGTTGTATACACTTGTCATACATTAAAAATGTCCAATAATACTTCCAAAGTTCTTTAAGGTCAAAAACAAAAGTTTTATAACAAAATTTCGGTGGTGTACTTAAATAAAAGCCAAAGCATGAACCAATGGAGCTTGCTGGACCAATCTGAGAGATTAGTTGGACTAATTTGAGAGCCAAATTAGAAAAGTAATCAACAGTAAACTAACCAAGGAAAATCATTGTAATAGGAAATACATCTCATTTTTTAGGCAATATCATCATATGTGTTTTTCATAAATATGAAATTTGAATATTACAAAATAAAATAAAACTGACCTCAAATTTTCAATCACTGCTTTGCTTATCTTAGTGCGCAAGATTTGTTCTTTGATCGAATGTCGACCTTCTTATGTTCATCAGTGTGGATTCGCTAGGCCATACAAAGTATTCCTCTCTCTCTCTCTCTTGGGTTTTTTTTTTTCACTGACTCGTTTTAAACCAAAAAAAAACCAACATTGAAGGTTTGAGGGAATATTTAGAATACAGTGAAATGATAAATTTTTAAAATTTGTATTGTTTTAAATTCATTAATTATGGCCACTGATCCAGGTAGCACACTGTAAGTAAGTTTTTATTTGCAGTTTTTTAGATCTGAAATTCTATTGTTTAGGTTTTTTGTTAGATTATTTCCCACATTCTATACTGTGCGATCCAAGTACATAAAAGCTTTATTTAACTTGTTTGCCGATTTCATCTAATCTAAGTTTAATCTACGTTTAAGGCGCACAGGTAATAAATCCCAATGCTGCAGAGAAAATGCTTATTGGCACTTCATTCACAGTTGATATATCCATTGTTTGTTTTATCCACTTCTTATGTTTCTTCTCTTGATTTTTTTTTGCTGCTCTGCTGAAATTCTTTCTTTTGCTATTTACAAGATAGTGACAGTTTAAAATGAGCAGAAGTAGCATTTTAGTTTTTCAATTTTGTTTTGTGTTTAACACCAGCTTTTTCTTCTCTTCATCAGTTTTATTGGGATGATTAGACGTTTTAGAGTTATAACGGAAACAACATGACTAGATGAAATATTTTTTACAGCTATATACTGAACACCGCATTACTATTGTGAACTCTATTACCATAGGTGTACTCAAAGCATAGATTGTCAGCTTGAAAAGCCTTAAAATTGTTAAATTCTGTTTCTTGCCCATCTTATTTTTGTTAGGCCCCTCGAACTATCAGATAACAGTTGCTGTTTTATGCTTTCTGAAAATTTATAGGCTGAAATCATGTTTGTTTTCATCAAAATTCTTTTGACCCGACAGATTTTGAAAAAACCTAGTGTATTTATATTAGTAGATTTATTTCTCTTATTTTGGTTTAATATGATTCATTAACTTAGACGCCATTGTATATCATATTTTATTAATATATTTTATTTGTTTCTGTTTACTTGATTGCAGTGTCATTCTCTAATTGAAGAACTACAAGCATCCCATTCAACTGACCTGCAACAGCGTGCATATGAGCTACAAGCTTTATTGAGTTTGGATACTCGTGCTGTTGAACATGCATTGCCTTTTGATGCGAGCTGCGAAGATATTGAGGTCTCTACTAAACATTCGCTTGCTCTATATGTGATACACATATTTTGAATTTTTACCTATGTATGCAAAAGAATATTTTCAATTTTCTTCTTAAGTTATTGAATGGTCAATATGCAATTTTATGCAAGCCTTCTTGCTTTATCACCATTAGTTGCATGCAAAGCTATTTTTTGGAAGTTCTTGTGCTATAGACTGGAAGGTTCTTTTTTTTAGCCATTTAATTTTAAGCATGGAGGCAATATCAGGAACAGGGAAATGTTCTTTTTCTTTTGATTCTGAACAAAATTTATATAATTTTAAGATGGATTAGGTGGACATCAAACATGATCAGATTGTGCAATTAATGATTTTAAAAAATCTTAATATTTGATTTTTTTTGGTGAATCAAAGCTGCCGGTCTCATTTGAATGAATGCAGATTATCATTCAAATTTAATTTGAGCAACTCGTGACATAAAAATAGCGGATGGTGTAAACTGTAGTATTTGAACCTTTTCAATCGAGAAAACTGTAGGCTTGCTTAATCTATAGCAGTGCAGTTTTATGATGCCATTGCTGTTGTCGTCCAACCTAGTTGCTGTTATTGAGATGAAAGCTCAATCGTCTTGATTCAAAAAATAGTCATTCAAAGGAGTTTGTTTTTTTAAATGGGAGATGATTAGGAACGTTGACATTTTCTCATCAATAGAATCAAACTGACCCTAAGTTTCTCTCTCTCTTTCACCTTCTGAACAATTTAATAACAATTTAGTAATTCTTTATTATGGAACATTTATTAAAATCAAGGTCACGCACTGTAAAGAAACAATCTCATACATTTTATAGTATCCTATCTAAAAAGATACTTGCATAGATTAAATCACAAGCTAATTTTGTAAAAACGCCAGCAATGGAATAATTCAACACAAGCAACATCTCAAAGACCGGATTTCATTAAACACGTTTAGAGGCTATAAACTATAATTCATGGCAAGTGCAAACATTCCACGTTAGGAGATATGCTAGCAAATTATACTGATTAACTTAGCTTCTATGCAAGGGAACGTCATTTTCCATTAAAAAGACTTACAGAATACCAAGGCCAAAATTGATCAGCTAGTTATTAGCATTTGAATTTAACTTTAATTAAAGTTCTTGAGCAGAGAAGAGTAGATGTTGTCAAGTATGAATGGATTCCTAGACTGGTGAGGTAGAAATAAAGGGAAGGCAGTTTAAGGTGGAGCCTTGATGAAAGCAAAGGGAATAGGCTTGCTTGAAGTTAACGAGGCAAGAACTTAACTAATTCCTAACTGATGAAGAGATTCAGGGCAAAGACCCTTGGTGGCTACAACCTTCCAAATTTTCTGTGGGTAAAATAATATTTGGTGAGTAATCTAGGCTCGGAACAATACACAGTGCTTCTTCTACTGAAAGCAAATCACAGGATGATGGTGGTGTGTCTAAAAGAGGTTTTCGCAGAGGTGGCTTTCTATGACCAACAGTGGCAATTGAAGGGAAGAGTTAGTTTTGAGTGTTTAGTTTTTAATGGAGTCAGCAAAGAGGATAGATAGTGCTATTTCAGTTAGTAACATTCATTCCCCAACACTACTCTGTTGGGCTAGCTCGATGTGGTTGAACTTGTAATTAAGAATGAATCCCCTTTCGATTAGAAGAGCGGGAAAACCTTATTTCAAAGGAAATGCTTTGTTTTGGATATATTTGATCTGAAGTTTATAGTGAATTGAGAGAGGAATTTCCGGGGTATTTTTCGAGCTACAAAAGATTTATGATGCAAGTGATGTGCCGGGCTTATTGGTTTAGGGTGCAAGTAAAGAAGGAAGTGGAATGTTAGCTCATAAATTTGTTAGGTATATATTTTTGTTGGTTCAGTTGTGCTTTACGGAATATCTGACCCAATATCTTGGTTGTATTTTGGAACCCAAATTTAAACAGTATCTGCTAAGAATCAACCTGATCTATTCATTTGTTTCTTGATACTTCATGTATTATGTCATTGAGCTTTGGCACGCTTAAATCACCTTGACATGCTAGGATAGGCAACATATTTTTCACGATAACAACAACGAAGACGACAACGTTAAGCCTTTATCTTACTAATTGGGGTGCGCTATGTGAATCGTTTTCCTCCATTGAGTCAAAAAATGGTTTAAAGAATTCAGGTCATAATTTTTCGACAAAATATTTATGAAACAACACATGAAAAGGCATGCTTACTTTTAAAGTGTTATTTTTTATGTGATATTAAAGATTTGAATGGTATGTATGTAATATTAAAGTTCAGGTGTTTGATATGTAAATACATAAGAATTGTGTGGTATGTATGTAAAGGACACGTGAAATTTTTTTTTTTTTGTGGGGGGGGGGGCACTTATATGCTTTTAAAATTGACATGTTAGTTTCAGTTTCATTCCCCAATATTCTCGACTTCAGCTTACTTGCTTGCTATCATGTTACAGGTTGATAAAAATTTGTCATTTCTCAACAGTTTTGTGCAACAATCCATTGAGAAAGGTTCACAGCCCTACATTCCTGAAAGTGAAAGGTCTGGTTTCTCAGATGTTGGCACTTTCAAAAACTTTAACCAGCATGAACATGCTGGCCACGGTCTTAGATTTGAAGCATATGAACTTCCAAAACCATTACCTCCAGTAATCGTATCTCCTGTCCCACGTCCGCCACAAATCACCAATACCATTCCAGTTTCCGAGGCTTCATATCCACGAGAAATTAACAAAAATCCCAATCCGTCAGCAAACTCCGAAATTAAACTTCGCCTTGGTGGAGTGCCAACTAAGTGGGGCAAGTCTACATATTCTCCAACTCCTTCATCTTCTGCTTCTGGTACCAATAATAAAACAGCAAATGGAGTCACACATTCTGATGTCTCCATTACCGAAACCTCACAAGCAAGAGATTTGTCATACAATCACAGGAGGCAACAAGTTGAAATATCATCTGAGAAACAGAGATTAGCTGCTTCTCTTTTCGGCAAATCATCAAAATCTGAAAAGAAAGTTCCAACCACCCACAAGTCATCATCCAGAGCTAATTTTCCAAATGATGAGAAACCATCTGCAAAACCTCCTTCAACCGAAGCTCCCAAGGAGATCTCTGGTTCTACACCTCCGCCGGCTCCTGATTTGCTCGATTTCACTGATTCTTCTCCTTCAATCCCCCCATCTGAAGATCCATTCAAGCAGCTGGAAGAACTCGTTGGACCTGTTGCCGTTCCAGAGTCACAAGATATTATGGGATTATATGGTCTGAGCACCAGTTCTGTAACTCCAGCTATTAAGAACTCCGAAGAAGCTAACACTGTGGTGGCAAACAAGAAAGGTCCAAATATCAGAGATGCTTTGGAGAAGGATTTTGTTGCACGGCAGGTTGGCGTGACGCCTACAGGTAATAATCCAAATTTATTCAGGGACCTGCTGGGCTGAAAGAATAATTTCAACTTCTATGATTCCGATTAGTCGGCCAGTTTACACAAACCTGTAATTAGATTAGAATCCCATGCATAGGAAGTTTGTGTTTTTGAAATTTTGGCGGATTCTATTGCGAAGAGGTTTGTAGATTTAATTTTTTTTGTTTGGTGGAAGAACTTAGAAAGGTGGTGCTAAGTGCAAGAATTAGGAGTAATTATTTGTGCGGCCATGGGTGATTACAGTTATTGTTTATTTCTGTACATGGCGGAAGTGTAATGGTTGAACAGGGTTTTATATTCATTGTGTGGGAGTTGGGGGAAGGATGGGCTGTTTATGTGAGCCCCAACGTTCTGTAATAAAGTCATGTATTTTTCATAAATATATCTTGTTCATTTTCAGTTCTGTTCTTTGTAAATAAATGTTAGATGTTGGTCATTGACATGCATTATACAATGATTAATTGATGTGGAATATGTAAGTTCAGGAACTGGTGTGTAATTGATTAAGCTACTCAGCTAATAGTGGGGGAGGTTGGGTGATAAAAAAGATTAGTATCAGTTGATAATGTTGGTGACCAACAAACATCAAATGTCCATCATTGGCTGGTGTCAAATCGTGTAAATGGAACATTATAATTGCAATGATTATCAGCAATCAGCATGGTTATTTTTCTTGGCAAAATAAGAGAAATAAGGAGGCATTTATATATATCTCAAGAAGAGTTATGTTGTTCATCTCTGGTTATATCTCAGACACTCCTGTTGGAAGTTCAAAGGTTCATTTGATCATTTTATGCTTGTTTTTTAAATCCTATGCCTTTTGAGTTGATGTTGGACATGCCATATTCATCTTGTCAAGCAGCTTATTTTGGGTATAAATATTCAAAAATTGAAGGATTAACTTGCAATTATATGTGAATATTTTAGTATGATTTACTTTTTATGATTTATTTACTTGGCAAATTCTTCCAAAGATGGTTGAACAAGTAATTAACTTCTTTTATCAACATTCAGTGATAAAAATCATAATTCACACCGAAGTAATTATAATCAATGTAAGCCCACTTAAGCTGATTAGTATTATTTAACAAATAAAAAAGGAAAAAAGATTTACATACATACCACTCAATTCCTATGTATTTACTAATCTAACACCTAAACATCAATTTGTACATATATCCAACCTCACGTTTACATGAAAATGTGTTTCATTTTATAAAAGTTAAAATAATAATATTTTTTTTATGCAGTATGAAAGATTGTGGGGGTATAAATGAAAAAAAAATAAAATTTAGATGTTAGATATTTAAATACATGAGAAATGGTTGGTATGCATGTAAATGCCCCAAGAGAAAAAATTAGGTCCAACCATCGAAAAATTATTGCATACATACACCGCATGAAGAGATGCATGCGGCGTCCGATCCTGACCGTAGATCACGGTGATCTACGTTTAGGATGTATTTCGATCGGCCTCACTTTAATTTTTCTTTTTTCAAAAAAATTTTGATTGCATCCTGGCCGTAGAGCACCGTGATCTACGGTCGGGATCAGACACCGAACGCATGTAATAATTTTTCCCAACCATCGGTGGTGGATTACCCTTCAATTCTTGCGTCCAAACTCCGTATAGAAAATTTTCTCCTGAGAAGGAAGCCTAAGGAGGAAGCAGAGGATGAAAGTAACAGAGGATAAGCAACCTCTTGACTCCTTATTTCCTGTAATTTCTTTTTTTTTTTCTTTTTTTTCTTAACTCAGCAGCAATACGGGAATTTGTAAAGAAATTTTTTTGTAATTTTTATATGTAATGACATGTATTTTTAGTCCAATTCATGCCTTAACTTTCCGTTTTACCTTTGTCATATTTACGTTACTTTTTTATTATTTGTATTGTGTTGGTGATGTTTGGTTTTAATATGTCAGCTATTCTGCTTTAGAACAATATAACTTTGAGACTTAATTTTGAGGTGATTTAGTCGGTACTCTTCGTGAAGCTTGTCGCTATTGGGCAAGGAACCACGACTAGAGCTTCACTTGGTTGAAGTTTAGAGATTAGTTTTTTTATGCTTTGGCATTGAGGGTCGGTCTTTGGTGTTTAGTGTCGATCAGACGTCATACTTTGTTATTGGTTATTTCAAATATCATTTATTGATTGGACGGCTTGCGTCGTTGTCAATTTTTTGGTTTTGACGCCCTGTTCGTGTCTTACACTTAGTGATTCTCAGCTGCTTGGCCGGATCTCTGCCTCAGACATGGTTCCTCCTATGCTAAGTTAATTATATGGACCTTGTCTTTGCTTTCACAGGAGTAACCACTAAGAATTGATTATGGGGTGATTTACTCAATACCCTTCAAAAAGCTTGTCGCTACTAGGGACAGAACCACCTCTAGAGCTAAAGTTAATTCAAGTTTGGAGATAAGTTTTTGTTGCATGAGCATTGTAGGCTAGTGGTGTATTCTAGTGATCGGACATCTTTGTGTCTTTGTCTACTCGGTTTCAAGTTCTTTGTGTATTGGCTAGACATCGAAGCACATGAACACCTTGAGTTCCTCAACTGTTATGTGAACACTTGATTATCTAAATAGTTAGCAGAATTATTTTTTAATATTTCTTAAATTAGAAGTTTATAAGTTGAAAACAAAAAACTCCTATATTATCTTTCTGAGTGTTGGTACTAGAAATTTTTTTAAGAAAAAAAATCTCTTCAAGTCATCTTCACTCCACACATGAGGGACTCCTTCCCGATATAGGTCTAGAGTTTGTAGGCTCTTGGGGTGAACCTTTGTTTAATGATGAATGGGTCGGTTCACATCTGATCCAACTTGTCGACGATTGTCCACGAGCAGCTTGATCGACTTTCTTTATCATAAGGTCCCTAGGGCAAAAGTCTTCTCTAGGACGTGTCTGTTGTAGAACAGGCAATGTGTCTCTTAACTTCTTTCTGTTGAAGAGTTAAATCCTTATCTTTTTCTTCTGCAAGATTAAGGACGAGCATTTCCCCCTTCATCATTTTCCTCCTGCTAGTCCGCTAGAATCTCCCCGTCGAAAGTCGAGGTCGTCACTACCTGCTGGCTGTGATGGTTGTATTCAACCGACAGATTTGCCTCCATTCCGTGTGATAGTGTGAATATAGTCTATCTAGTCATTTTTGATAAAATTGTTCGGGTTATCTTGAGGACCAAAAAAAGAATTTTGGCTCGATTCCCTTTAACTCCTTCAACTTTCTTCCTTGGCATATTCAGGATAATCTTGTTGTCGGCTTCTGCTTTACCAATAGTTCGAGGGTGATGCACTGACGCGAAATTTAGAATGATTCACTGACTCTAGCAAAAGTATGTTACCTCTTATTATGTAAACTACGTTTTGTTATCAGTGATGATAACTAGCGACAAACCATACTAACAGATGAGGTCCATCCAGTTGAGCTTTCGAACAACCTCTGTTGTTATCAGGGCAAGTCTTTTTGCTTTGATCCACTTAAAAAAGTAGCCACAAAGACTGAAAGAAATTTTTTATGACGCTTTGATGGTGGGAACAACCCAAGGATGTTGAGCCCCCTAGACGATGAAAGGCCAAGGGCTAACGATTAGTTGCAGTTTGTGGATCGTCATTTGTTGCAATGTTGCGTACTTCTGGCATTGCTCTCAGCTTTTAAAAAATTTTGCATCTTTCGTGAGTATTTGCCAGAATTAGTAATTTCTTAGATTCTATGTGCTAAGGTCTTTCCTCTAGTGCGACTCCCGCGATCTCCACAGTGCATCTCTCAAAGGAATTCTTATATTTCGTTCTCCCCAACGCACCTCAAGTAAAGTGAAGTATTCAACTTTCAAAAAATCTTCCCTTCGATCAGAAAGTAATGGGTCACTTTGCACTTGAACCTTCATGGGTATGTGACCTCTTTAACAATCTTTTAGCCTACAAGAAGTGGGTGTAAGGATCCATCCAACTTTTGGCTTCTTCAGCTTCCGCTTCCATTGCCTCTGATTCTCTAATTGTCGGTTGGAATAGTCTTTGAGATCTTCTCTCCCCCAAGTAGATGCACTTTGATAGGAGAGCAGCCACCAGGTTGTCTTCTCTAGCGTTGTGCTCGATTATGAAGTTGGCAAACTTCCATATCTCTACTTTAACTTCGCTTAGGTATTTGATTATCATCTCATCTCTAGCTTCAAATTTTCTGTTCTCCTAATTAACTACATGTTGCTAGCATGATTTTAAAAACCTAACTGGAGCGGTTGATTTGATCGGTTCAATCGTGAATCAAACATTCAACCAACGCAGTCCAAGCTCAGAACCATTTTTACATAAAAGTGAGATTGAACCAATCAAAATCGAAGTTGACCAGGAGAACTGGTGAACCGATTTGATTTTTAAAGAACCAACCAGTTCAATTATTATTCAATTTTAGCATTTTAATTTTGATCAAATGGTTAGAGCTAAGATTTTTAAATTAAAAAAATATAAAATATATTGTCTTAATTTTTTTATTTAAAATATTGTTCAAAATATTCAAAAGTATTACTTTAAATTAAAATATTATTTGTTGAATCGATAAAAAATAATATTAATATGTCACTATTCTATTATTTAAATTATATTAAAATAATTTAATATTTATTACATCATCTGGTTCAACCCCAGCCGAACCATTGAACATTTACTTTTTCTGACTCGATGTCAGGATTGGTTTTCACAATCATGCTTGGGAGTCTAACTTCGATTTCATAGGCTAGACGCAGATCGACAATCAGGACTTCGTACTTTATTTGATTGTTAGTAACTTTGAATTCTATGGAGACCGAATGATAACGGTTCTCTAAGATCGAATAACTCATAGCAAGTCAGTTCCCCGCCCCTTTCTGGTTGGAGGCTCCATCAATGCATAAGACCCAGATCTGGTTGTCGGTTGTGAATCCTTCATTTAGCTCTCATGGCTCAAAAAATCCCACCAAAAGGCCCATTGTTGCATGTGCCTTAATTGTCATCCAGGGGACATAGGATTCATCGAATCACTAAGCTTCACTGTCAATTTTGATGAGCCGACCGGATTGTTTTAGTCAAATGAGAACATATTCAATGGGTGATCAGTAATGACCCGGATGGGATGCGTCTGAAAGTAGTGTCAAAGCCTATGACGTAAATAATCAAAGCAAAAGTTAGTTTTTTTCATAATCAGATACATGATCATAGAGCCTCTGATGACCCGACTAATGTTGTAAATCGGGAATTGTTTTCCTATCTCTTCCCATACTAGCACTGAGATTTTGGCCTAGGGCCCAACTCCCAAGTAAAAAGAGACTTCCTGATGGTGACGATAAGGAATCTTTTAAGTTCATAAATGCTTCCACACACTCATTCGACCATTCGAAGTTCTCCACCTCTCTATGCATTTTAAAGAACA